TCGGCCTCGACATCTTCTTCCTGTTTTTAATTCACCTTAGGGACTCTGCCATCCTCCATTCTCCAGGTGTAACCCACCACCTGAGCCTTCGTAGACTGAGCACAGAAAAGACTGTTGTAGTACTTGCTCTTTCCAGTAAGTACCTCAGTGTTTGTGATTTTGTCCTGCCACTTAATGCCAAGTATTCTTCTTAGGCATCGCATGTGAAAGCTATTGAGCCGTCTCTCCTGGTGCAAATAGGTTGACCAAGTTTCACTGCCATAAAGCAGAGAGCTGATAACACAAGCCTGATAGACAAGGGTTTTTGTTTTAATTGTGAGCTTTCTGGTCTTCCAAACTCTTTGTCAATCTGTTCATTGTTGTTGCTGCCTTACCTATCCTGATGTTGATTTCTTGGCCCAGCAATGGTTTACTATTCACTGTGGAACCCATTTTAAGGACACAGTGGATATGCTAAAATGATGGCAGTGTAAATTTATTACATTGAGTTCATTTGAACATTGCAAAATGGATTAACATTTGCATTGCATATGATGGAAATCTGACTGAAGACATCGTTTAACCCTCTGGAGACGGCGCGACCGAAATATCGGCATAACACAAAACAGCAGAAAGGACGACTGGGCCGATCGGTCGGCCCTGTGTAATACAAACCTTGAGATTGGCTGGCAGGTTTTTGAATCAGCCAATCAGATTGCTTCTTGCTTTTCTTGCACATGTAGGCTGTTTAATGATGGCTTTTGAGAAAGTTGGACGTGTTCTGTAATTTTACAGCAATTTGTTTTAGTAAAGTTACTTGTGCCCAACGATGGTGAAAAGGCCTGTTGCGTCATAGCAACTGAACCATAGCAGAAGGCAAGAAAATGACTAGAACCATGAGCTAGAAGTGTCTGAACGACCTCCATGGGCCTTATTTCCCAAAAACATTATTCAACCTTTATCTATAAAAAAATTCACCCAAATTGTTCAGGTTAGTCATGTTTGTTCCTAAGTTTTAAAACAAATGCTTGCATAAATTATGCAAATCAAAATAGTTAATTTGAATAAGTGTTGAGATTTCAGTTTGATTCATGAATATTCTGTTAGTTCATTCCATTTCCTGCCAGAATATGTATAGTTTTATATTTGTTAATAATGGGCTTATTTTTTTAAATAATTTTGTGTGTGTAAACTAAGAGAATCATACACTAAAGGCTTTCTTTTTTTTTGGGCAATGAAACTCCAAAAAGGCTCCGTCTCCAAAGGGTTAATCTTCTTCTTCTTTGCGTACACCAGCTGTACTCTGGCGGAAAGTTCTAGTTGCTCGTCTACTACTGAACTGCAGTCCTGCTCCAGAACCTGAGTGTTGCGTGTGCATTAGTTTTACAGATCTCATTCTCTTGAATACAGACTGTTGGTTCCTTGCCTCTCCGGCAGATGCACTCTGACTTCAAAGGAAGCTCCCCAATTAGTCGACTCTTACAACATGCTTTTGGGGAGGCAGTGGGTCTATTCTTGTTTTCCCCACAATGGGGCCCCAGAACCCACACGGGGGCAAAGGGTTAATATTTCTATTGAATAAAATGTTAATAACTTTCATTTCTTGAAAACATGTTTTTGCCTGCGTGTCCAGACTTTGGGACACCTTGTATTACCAGCAGAGAGTGCCGATTTCCTATTTAGGAATTTCCAGACTCTATTATTATTTACCTTTTACCATAATTCAAACTGTGGCATCTTTTTGACTTGGCACTTGGTCTGTACATCATTGTCATCATCAGTGACTTAGGTGTTGCAAACAAGCTTTGTGATTCTGCGATACCCACTTCGATTCAAGCTGTTTGCATTGATTTTGGCAATGGTATCAAGAGACGACTATTCAGAGGGGCGTTTGCAAACTAGTGGACATAAAATTGTCTAGTAAACCAAACAGACGAAAAGTGTTGTGGTTGGTTCTGCAACGTCCTGTAAAGGATACACAGCTAGCTGTTTTGTACTTCACTGCTAGTGTATACTGTTAGTAGGTAGTCAAACAACATGGCCAAATCATTTCATTTATTGTTTTCTGGTAAAAAGTGCTGTCACTACTCCAACTAATATTCTAATCTTGTTATTTTCTCTTACATTATCCAGGACTCATATTAAGTAGGAGAATCCTCTTCTTAGCATTCAGCTGCTGTAAACTTCAGCAGGAAGTTCTGGTTTGTCCACTTCCGGACTTTGGTTTTGTTTCAGAACTTGAATTTTGCATGCACATCCATGCTACAGATCTGGCTTATTTGTGTGCAGACTGTTGGTTCCTCTGCCTCTCATGCAGATGCACTTTGACTCTGAAGGAAACATTCCTAATTAGTTTCCTCCAAACATTATTATTATTGGTCAGTTTGTCTATCTATCTCTTCTATCTTTTTTTACGCCACCAGGACATCACACAAGCGATAAACACCCAATGATACAAAGTGCCACCATGTGGATGAGGATCACCGTAGAGAGGTCCCAGAAACCGCGTTCAACCATTAGACTATATTTATGGTGAGCTATATTGCAGCCCCTGGCAAGAGCCAGAGTAGGGTTTTAAATTTTAAAAAAATTTCATCTCACAAGGTAATGTCTGTATGTGAGTTTGTCTATGACTGACTTTCTACCCCACCAGGACATCACACAAGCGATAAACACCCGATGACACAAAGTGCCACCATGCGGATGAGGATCGCCGTGGAGAGGTCCCAGAAACCGCGTTCAGACATTTGGCCATATTTATGGCCTGCCTATATTGCGGCCCCTGGCAAAAGCCAGAGTAGGGCTTCAAATGACAAAAAATTTCGTCCTGAAAAGGACGAAACTGGATATAAAGTCTAGATTCAGTTCACAAGGCAAGATTTAGTTTTTAACGCTAGTACAGTTTTGGGGTTCACAAAATGTCATTACAAAGTATTATTCTTAGCCCTTGCTGTAAACTGGTAAAAGTTATGGTTTTTCATCCACTTCTGGACTTCAGTCTTGTTCTAGAACTTGAGTTTTATGTACACATCCATTTTACAGATCTGGCTTATTGGGATGCAGACTGGTGGTTACTCACCTGTGTTTATTGTATGCACGTATTGCATCTCATCGTCCCCTTGTGGGATGCAATTTTTAAATCCCACCCTGGCTTTTGCCAGGGGCCCTAAATATAGCTGGGTCTGAAATATGGCCTAATGGCTGAATAGGGTTTCCAGGACCTCTCCATGGGTGATCCTCATCCACATGGTGGCAGTATGTGTCACCGTATGTTTATCGCTTGTGTGATGTCTTGGTGGGGAACAATTACCTACCTACTCACCTGTCAGGCATGCGCACACCGACATCAAAGAAATGCCCCTTGTCAGTCAACTTATGGCATGTTATTTTAGGGCGTTAGTAGGTTTATTTTCCAACACTGGGGGCCTGGAACCCACGTGGGGGGGAGGGAGGTGGGGTTATTACAAATTGACAGTAGGCAGATTTCAGAAGCACAGTCTAAAATTGTTACCAGATGTCATGGGAAGCAAAGGAGGTGAAACTATATTCACCACACTACCAATCAAGTGCTGATTGGTCTATAAATACATCAGTTTAAAAAAAAAAAGGTTAGTTGCGTATTTTACACAACATGGCAGAACCAACCCCAGCAATTTTATGACTGTTATGGTTCTTCTAGGCACATTTTATGATTGAAGTTTGCCATTGCTTTAAATACACAAGACTAACATTATATGCTCATTTTGCATGCTGTCGTGAAAAATAGACCTTTTAAAGAAACACCAGCGGCTCCATGTGAAGCAGGTGATCACATTCAGTTTCTGAGTAAGACACACTGAAACAGTAATTTATGCTGGAATTTTTCCCATAAGAGCAAAACGGGGAAGCTAACCTACTATACAGGATGCCATGTTCTTCGTCAATCGCATGATAAACAAACTGCCTTGTACTGATTGGCACTCATAGATCCAAAGGAAAGAAGGGGGGGGGGGGGGGGGGTCTGGCTGTGCATGAAGCATGATGCTGCCAGGCTACCACCAGTCCCAAGGTTGAGGGTTTGGATCCTTGTTGAGGCAGACTGTTACTGAACTAGGCATCCGAGGTCAACCCAGTCCAGCACACACAGGGAAGTAAAGGTGGCCAGCCTCAATGTTGATCCCATCAATCAATGAATACCACAAATTTTATTTGAATATCAGTCTAGCACAGTGGCTCTTAACTTTCCTAATGCCACGACCCTTTAATACAGTTCCCTCATGTTGTGTCGACCCCCAGACAGTTTTGTTCCTTCATAACTTCAATGAAGATGTTTTTTCATATGGTCTTGGGTGACCCCTATAAAATAGTTGTTCGACCCACAAAAGGGTCGCGACCTGTAGGTTGAGAACCGCTGGTCTAGCATAATATACTCAATGCTCTAATTGCCCGGACTAGGTACTTTCCTCTAACTTTTCCTACGCCTACTTACCAATTCTTTGTTTAATTCGTTTATAAATATAATTAACATTGATATTAAAAACATGGGCTACCCTCCGAACTTACGGGCACTAAAGATGGCGGCCGCAAAATATACTTTCGAGCCACAGACACGTGACTTAATTTACGGTACTCCGGCGGTTTTCCGGTGACTACGACCACTGCCATGAGTCCCCCACGCCGCTCATGTGGCATGGATTGGGGCGAAACTAGATGGCTAGGACTTACAAGCAAAGCTTCAGGAGATGCGGAAGCTGCAGCTCGTGGGTCCTAGCCATCTAGTTTAGCCCCAATCTACGCCGCATGAGCGGTGGCGGTAGCTGCCGGAAAACCACTGGAGAACCGCAAATTAAGTCGCCTGAAGTGCGCAATTGACACGTGACTGTGACTAAAAAGGATATTTTGCGGTCGCCATCTTTAGTGCCCGAAGTTCGGAGGATAGCCAAAACATGATTCGTGATGTTTCTTAGGAAACAATTCTCTTTAAAAATGATGCATCACAGAATAAATATTATCAGACAGAATATAATGAACCCTACTGATAACTAGAGCTTTGTGTTACTACTATTGTTTGGAGGTGGGATCTCTTTTTCATAAGCTAGATTGTCTGCTCCTCTTTTATTCTTTGCCTTGAATAGCTCCTCCACCTGCTCCAATGTTTTGTTTTTGGTTTCAGGAAGGAAGGTTATGGTGAACAGCAATCCCACGAAGCACACTGCAGCAAACAGCCAGAATGCCCCTGTGGAGTTGGAAGAATGAACAATTATTTGCCAAGTTGCATGAATGAATCAACTGAGAGCTGACATCACTGCATCCAGAACATGCTCTTTTCTCTTCTTCACTAACTACTGAAGAGTTCACTTACTGGTGATCCCCAGGTTTTTCACTGTGCATTCTGGACCATGTTGTGCTATGATACAGAGAAGCGGCCGCATCAGGCAGCGTGGTAAGTTGATGAAATAAAAATACAGTTTGAACTTTTAATACGCCACACAGCCGCTCCTAAAAGCTTAGGCAGCAATTAGCACAAAAGACAATCACCCATGTTATGGTTCTGCTTTCCGCTTACAGTTATTAACAATATTTTATTTAAACATTAGTTTGTCTTGAGAAGTGGCAAATAGCTGTGCATAAATCAGATATATAATACATATGTATCAGTAAAATATGTTTGCATTTATATTATTTCAGTTTTTATGTGAACAAACTAGATCAGCAGTTTTAACAATAATTGTAACTACTTATTATCAATGAAAATTATTCAGTTATGACAACAGTTATGAATTCAATAAGCCAAACAAAACTTTAAAAAAATTTAAATGGAATCTACACTGGTTGCCACTCTAAACTAAACATCCCCATCAATAAATTTGTTAAAGTTAAAGTAAGAAGGGTAAAACTGTAGTCGATTGTTGTAGTTGATAGTTGATTTCATTATTTTAAAGTAGTTAATTTTTTCAAAATAGATTGTGTGCACTTTTTTAAAAAAAATCATAGTCAGATTGCCAGCCTTATCCCCTTGTTATCATTTTACAAGAGGTATATCCTTGACATTCTGTGCCCATCGTCATGCTAGTCTACCCATGTCTTATCTTCCAGGAACCAAAACCACCATATCATTCTCCCTCCCCACAATAGGGTTGCCAGATTTTTGCTTTTAAAAACCACCGAAGTGACTCGTGGTTTGTTGATAACGACATTTATTACTACTAAGAGACTACAAAATATATATAATCAGCAGAGGAAACTTACTCCATAGGAACAAATTTGGTCAGGAGGAAACTTACTCCATAGGAACAAATTTGGTCAGGAGGAAACTTACTCCATAGGAACAAATTTGGTCAGGAGTATCTGGCAACTCTACTCCATAATATTATGGTGTTGAATATGGCCAAAGTTTGTCAATTTTCGAGAAATTAAATTGTTCAGTCCACCTCAGTATGCAGACTGAGAAGAATGGCTATCATATGGGTTGCAGTACAAGGACATACTAGCTATTTCGTTTTAAGTAGGTATGTAAGGCATATCCCACCAGGACATCACACAAGCGATACACACCGGGTGACACAAGGTGCCACCATGCAGATAAGGAACACCCGCAGAGAGGTCCTAGAAACCCAGTTCAGCCATTGGGCCATATTAAGGCCCGGCTATATTTAGGGCTCCCCATCAAAAGCCAGGGTGGGGCTTCAAAATAACGAAAAATTGCATCCCACATGGGGACCAACGTAAGGTAGCTATTTCGTTATCAAATTCTGTCAAATAAAAGAAGGATTGGATGTAACAATTGAAAGCTTAAAAGTCAACATAAGTCTTTGTAATTCTTACCATATTTAGTGATTGTCTCCGTCAGCGTGAGAAAGAACAGGGAAACCAGTAAATTACAGATCCAATTAGCACCAGTGGCCATAGAGTTGCAGGTACTTCGAGCCCACATGGGGTAGATCTCCGAATTGATGGTCCATGGCATTGGACCTAAACCTAGAAATAAACAGAGCATGGAAATTATGTGTCATCAAGCTTGTGTTGTTGCAGCAGAGAGGGTCAAATGTCATCTTCACAGTGAATGTCAGTTGCAACGGATCTTCATGACGTGTGTTTTTCCCTATTCTGCTAATATTATCTTTCCTGTCTAAAATTTGATGTGTTTTTTTCTATTAAACTTCATACCTTCTGCTTTTTCCTTGTATTTCACGTTCTGTCTGCCGGGATTGTGCCTGTGCAAATGGTCACCTTATTTGTAGTTGATTTTACTTTTCCATTCTGTTCTGTCCTCCGCTCATTTTTTAAAATACAGAGTATGGAGTGTGACCTCTCGAATCAATCTTTGTCATAGTTTTTCTTGGATGTCTTTACTCCCTACCTAGCAATATCATTTGAAAATGAAATTGCATGATTACTTATGGGCATCAAAGTAATGGACCTTGTTTGTGTGAACAATTAAACTTTACATTATTAATATGGGAAAATGACATTGGCCTCCATGTTCACCCAGCTTTAAATTGATGCCATGTAAAAGTCGTGGAAAGTAAAGATGACCAGCGGGATGATAATTACAACACGCACTAAGTGCCGATTGAAATGTAATATATAGGTCTAGCCCTATATGCCTAAAATGCCTGAAAGCGTACAAACTGTTGTTTGCTTTACTGCATTAATTTGGGGCAAGTACTGACATTCGGGTATCTAGGCACATGGATAACATTATACGGAAGATTCTTTTTTTTTTAAGTATCCAGAAACCATGAGTTGTAAACCTTTTGGCTCGGTACTATGGATATCGCAACCCTTCGGCCTTGATTCCATTATAGGTACCGTAAATCTGGGAGAAATGTGGCTTTTCTGCCTACCCCCGGGAGTGAACCCGGACCACAAGGAGTTCGTCACCCGGCCGCCGCGAAAGTCAGGTTTAACCAACTACGCCAGAGAACCGGGTTTATACGGAAGATAAACTGTAGTGATGAAGAACAGAATAGGACAAACACTGCACTATATAACAGAAAGAACGTCTTATGCAATGAAACCAAAGCTTTGAAAGTTTAAAAAAGTTCAGAAAAAGAACTCTTGCACGTTATTATTATATATTAATTATATAGAAGGGTAAATAATACCATGGCATCTATGAAGAAATTTTCCCTAAAAATAAAACTGGGGAGAATAATCAATGATAGCACACAATGGAAATAAAATATCCACCATGTTAATGACACAATGTTAATGGGATTATCTAAATATTTATAGTACAGTTTTTATCATAATCACAACCCAGATCAAAGCAAAATGTGAAATGACAAAAATAACATTCTGGTCATAAAAATAATTACAAGATATATAAATGTAAAATAACAAATATATTCTCTGAGAACTCGGTTATCACTGTATAAGTAAAAAAAAAAAAGGTAAAGGACCCTTTTCCACCCCTTTAGGCGTATAGGGCATATAGGGCTAGACCTATATTTAGGGCATATAGGGCTAGACCTATATTTTTATAGACCAATCGGCACAAGATGGGTGATGTGGTCAGCATCACGCCAGCCGCATCTACTTCCCGGGACTGCACCCGGTATCCACTCAAGGCTGGGTCGACCTGGGAGCCAAGGTCATTTTTGAAAATAGTCCTATCACTGTATATCACAATTATAATTCTGATGGTTGAACAGGATATTTTGGAAAAACTACTATTACTATTGCATGTTAGATAAAATACAGTAAAATCTTGTTAACATGAACTCACTCAAGAAGAAAACTTGGTTAACATAAACAGGGATGTAGTAACTTGAGTCCCTAGATAGCATGAATTTTTTTAACACAAATTCTTGATTCATCTGTCCCTTGGAATTAGTGTTAAAGATTTTCACTGTATTTGTCACACATAGTGGCAAATTGTGGACAGTCAGTAAGGAAGCAGAAATATCCAAGGAGAAATCGAAATATGGTTGTACGGACAAATGTTCTGAAATTTATTGCATGGCGAAATGAGTAATCCAAATGTCGTGAAATATGCTAAAAAGTGCAGTAACTTATGACAAAATTTACTGAGACCATGTTAGCAGAAAAAGAGGTGGGGAAAGAGAGGTGGAACACAGGATAAATGAACAAATTGATGAAATGAGATAAAACAAGAAAATGAAGGTCTATGTTTGATAGCCTTGTGACATGGCGCAAGAAGGTGTTGTCGCGTGCGAATGTGCACCAGAACGCACCGGTACGGAGTGAGCAAATAAGACGTCAAAACAATACGTAACGTTGTTATGATAATATTGTTGTCAAAGCAGTTGATGTTTATAGTCCGAAGGAGACGGACGTGGGAATCCTTGAGGACGCTTTACCCCGGGATCCCACGGAAGCAAACGTTATATAAAGTTGGATCCTTGAGGACGTTTTACCCCGGGATTCCAAGATAGACCTCAGCAGGAAGCTGGTTAATACTACATTCTCGGCAGTAAGCCGGTATACTTTCATTGCTTAATTCGGACTTGTCCGAGGAGAAAGTAAATCGTCTGGATCTCAAGGTCGGACTGCGACCTATCGTGAGGACATATCATTACATGGATGTACGAGCGAGCTTTGGTTGAACGAGTTGATTATTACTTGCATATGTATCCTTTGTGTTAATCATTGCTGATTGTATATATCAATACAACCGTTGGAACTTAACGCATAGCGTTCGAGCTCTACATTTTGAAAGCATTGAAGTAACTACTGTTTTACCCCTACTTGGCCTATTTCATCTTGGTACCACACACATCAGCATGAAGCTCTGCACGTCACAATGAAGGACCGCACGTATCAGGTGTCAGCAAATACCATTGACTTTCACAAGGTGTGGAAAAGCATGATAACCTACTTACTCTAGACAATGATATCTTGGTAATCTGATACTACTTTTCTGATAACATGGTGAGACAGTGAGCATTTGAAGATGAAGAAATGAAGATGATGATAATGATGCTGATGAGGAATAAGATGATAGGTTAATGAACATTACCTGGAGCAAAAGCAAAGACAAACAAAGCCAAGCCCAACACTGCCATCCAGGTGTAGTCTGTGGGACAATAGCCATGAGAAAACGTCAAGCCCAGGGCTGCCTTCTCTGTCTCATTCCTGCAGCGACCATAGATGGACAGCGTGTCCTCCTCATGTTCCTGAACCCTGAGACAGGTGCCATGATCACCACTCCCAGCAAAACAAAAACCACAGTTGGTGTTTTCAATGCATTGCTCACAGTTACTGTGGACAGATATTCAGTCAAGAAATGAAATATTTTTTACACCTTGAAGGATATTGGGTATATATCCAAAGCTGAAAATATAGGTGTACATGAACAGGTATGATGCACTGTAAAATTAAAGGTTACAAAGACAGAAACAGTCACAACACATAGACATTATACAAGTAAATGACATTTATGATCCACTGTAAAATTAGAGGTTACAAAGACAAAAACAGTCACAACACGTAGACATTATATGTGTGCATGAACAGGACCCTGTCTCACCAACAGCGCATTAAGCATATGGTGTGTGCTATTTGTCCCCTCCGGGTGGCTGCCTGAAAGGTTTGACACCCATAGATCTGAAGAATTCAGTCTGGTTGGCAGACCTACAGGACCTGATTGGGAGACTAAAGAATCTCTGTGCTGATGGCAAACAGGGCAATCCCAGATACCTTGTTTGATGTCCAGTATTTGTATTATTGCCATCAACTACTACCTTGCTGACTGGCATGGGTGATCAGGCCCTTCCACGACCTACGATATCCAATAGCCCGCCATGCCATGACAAATGGCTGTCAAGAATCATCTTATGTTGTCTTCAATCTCTTTTTTTCCACAAACCTTTCTAGTTGTCACAACATGTTCTAGATTTCCTCTCCTCATAAAATGACCAACAATTGATGACTGTCTCCTCCTGATGTTTGTGATAGGTTGTCTTTGGGCCCAATTCTGTCAAAACAAATAGGTTATTCGTTTTGGTTGTCATTCTTCTGTCAAATCACATCTTTGAGGCCTCAAGAAATTGTTTAGCTTTTTTTATTAATTATCCAGGATTCACGTCATATGGTAAAACGAGCTCTATTATGCATGAGAGAATTGTTTTTCTAATCCCCTATGACAGAGATTTATTGCAAAGATGTTCTTTATTTTCTTTTTAAGAATGCATTTGTTACCTGTCCTTTATTTTTTATATGTGATACTTCTTCAATCTGACGTTACCCATGTGCCCAGTTCCTAACTGCTAACCCCACTTACTTTTGTTATACATTCAGACAGTTGTTTTCTGTGATATTAGACTTTTTCTGAGAAAACCTGTGAAAAATTAGCAGATTGTTGACAAACTGTTGGACACTCTGACTCTCAGCCTATTTGCTATGTCTGGTGGGAACTGTACCTCATATGGTCAGGCTAGTCTGTTTCTTTCTTTTCTTTTTTTTTTTTTTTTCCTTAGTGTGAATGTTTGGGCAGGGTCTGTCAAGATTCCTTGACTAAACAAACATACACATGTGCGTGCGCTCACACATGCACAGACACACACACACGCGCGCGACATAGTTATAAAAGTAAATGACAACATGTGATTAAAAAGTGCCGCAACTATGAATTAGCTAAATATAGGTGGAGACTGCTAGCAGCCTAGGCTAGCTAGCAGCAGTCTGAACGTGGTCGAGCTTTTCTTTTTTTTTCTCAAAAGGACTTGGACTTGGACCTGAATTAGCTAAAAGAATTGTGAACTAAGCTCAGTTGCGGTTGTGGCTCACGATCAGTACCCAATGCGTAAGATGGTCAAACCTCATAAGACTAACATATTTTGATGGTTTTCCTTTACAGGGAGACTTGTGTGAGTTCTGAATTATTCCGGAGGATACATAAACAGACAGCAGGGATAAGCAGGACCACTAAGAGATTCGCTTTACTGGTCTTAAAGAACTTTAAACGAAGGTAGCTGTATTTTGTTGTCAAGGTCATTGTAGATGGAAGAACTGTTGGCAGATGATATCAAAAGCTGTGTGGGGATAGCTTGATTATACCATGTCGTCATTTAAGTGGCATAGGCAACCTATCTGAATTCACTTACTCATAATTTTTCTCAAAGCAGCCGTCTGCCACGACTGCCTGGCTGCTGTTAAATTCTGTCACGTTGTGGTTGACTGAAGGTGAAAAGTTTGCCGACAGTTGGAAGCCAACTGCAAGAACCACCAGAGCTGTAACAACACCTGTTGATAGAATAATCGTCTAAACTGGCAAGCTGAAATTGATAAACTGAACTACTTGTTGATAGAATTCGTCTGAACTGGCAAAGTGAAATGGGTATACTGAGTTGGTTGATTAGTTAGTTAGTTAGTTAGTTAGTTAGTTAGTTAGTTAGTTAGTTAGTTAGTTAGTTAGTTAGTTAGTTAGTTAGTTAGCTAGTTAGTTAGTAAGTTAGCTAGTTAGTTAGTTAGTTAGTTAGTTAGTTAGTTAGTTAGTTAGTTAGTTAGTTAGTTAGTTAGTTAGTTAGTTAGTTAGTTAGTTAGTTAGTTAGCCAGCCAGCCAGCCAGCCAGTCAGTTAGTCAGTCAGTTAGTTAGTTAGTTAGTTAATCGAAAGATTATCCTCATTACACTTCAGACAAGTCCATAAGCGCTCAAAACCCATCTTCAGTATATCTTTGAGCGTGTTGTAACTGATAACACCAGTTATGTGTTGGTTTACTATTCTTCTCTGGCTGCATGTGTAGTGTTTATGTTTGGCCACACCTCTTTTAACCTGAAGTTCTTGCAGTCTTTTGAGTGTTGCAGATTCAGTGTCGTCTCCTGAATCATCTTCTCGGCTTGCTTCCTTGAGAGCACTGCCCAGTGCATTGCTTTTCCTGTACCTACCATGGCCCTGCCAGCAAGCCAGTCTGCTCATTCATTCCCTCTAACCCCAGAGTGTCCCGGCACAAAAAGGGAACTAATTCCTATCAAACGAGATTTCCTCAGCGACTCCAACCATTTTCTTCGAATCCATCTCTGTCTTCTTAAGCACGCTCATGAAATCACTTAGAAAGCATGCATGGGAAAAATATCGTGTCCCTAGCCACATCACTGCTTTTGTTACCACCATCACCTCCATAGTCAGACTACTTGTAGTTGAGACAAAACCCCCGCTATCTTCTTTTACAGTTTCCCCATGAACCAGAGCCATGAGAGCTCATGAACTTTGTACGTGTCGAACTATGAATCCAACAGTGTGTTCAACTCACCTCCATCAGCAAAATGTTTCAAGAATGAAGGCCCAAACTTCTGCTTCAAAAACCAACAGGCCTTGTTGTCTGCAATATCTGCCCAGTTTTGTGCAGACTGAAAAGAATGTACCCCAGTCTGCTAGTACTCTTACCCATTCATCGCTAAGTTCTGTGTTCATATCCACACCACACCACCTGTAAGACCCGCACAATCCGAGGCACCCACATCACACTCTCCGCTACTTGCACGGCACCCGCGGCCTACAGTATCACCAAAGACAATAATACACCAACTATTGACCACCCATATATATGACTATAATGTAGCAGCAGAGAGGCGCATTCACACCATTTGATGATAACAGCGGTACAAGCAACTGTCCATGGCATTTATTCTGGTCCCTTATTTCTTTAAATTTTCTCTAAACTAGGATAATGTCTAGTCTATAATTTGGGGAATATCAACCAAAGATACTGACTCACCCATAACTTAAGGATACTGACTCACCCATAACTTAAGGATACTGACTCACCCATAACTTAAGGATACTGACTCACCCATAACTTAAGGATACTGACTCACCCATAACTTAAGGATACTGACTCACCCATAACTTAAGGATACTGACTCACCCATAACTTAAGGATACTGACTCACCCATAACTTAAGGATATTGACTCACCCATAACTTAAGGATACTGACTCACCCATAACTTAAGGATACTGACTCACCCATAACTTAAGGATACTGACTCACCCATAACTTAAGGATACTGACTCACCCATAACTTAAGGATACTGACTCACCCATAACTTAAGGATACTGACTCACCCATAACTTAAGGAAACTGACTCACCCATAACTTAAGGATACTGACTCACCCATAACTTAAGGATACTGACTCACCCATAACTTAAGGATACTGACTCACCCATAACTTAAGGATACTGACTCACCCATAACTTAAGGATACTGACTCACCCATAACTTAAGGATACTGACTCACCCATAACTTAAGGATACTGACTCACCCATAACTTAAGGATACTGACTCACCCATAACTTAAGGATACTGACTCACCCATAACTTAAGGATACTGACTCACCCATAACTTAAGGATACTGACTCACCCATAACTTAAGGATACTGACTCACCCATAACTTAAGGATACTGACTCACTCATAACTTAAGGATACTGACTCACCCATAACTTAAGGATACTGACTCACCCATAACTTGGAAAATGTCAACCAAGGATAATGAGTTGCCCATACTTTTATAAATGTTGACCAAGGATATTGACCAGCCCGTAACATGGGAACTGTCGATCAGGTATACTGACTAGCCAGTAACATGGGAACTTTCGATCAAGGATACTGACTAGCCAGTAACATGGGAACTTTCGATCAAGGATACTGACTAGCCAGTAACATGGGAATTGTCGATCAAGGATACTGACTAGCTCATAACATGGGAATTGTCGATCAAGGATACTGACTAGCTTATAACATGGGAATTGTCAATCAAGGATACTGACTAGCTCATAAAATGGGAATTATCGATCAAGGATACTGACCAGCCCATAAAATGGGAATTGTCAACCAAGGATACTGACTAGCCCGTAACATGGGAATTGTCGATCAAGGATACTGACCAGCCAGTAACATGGGAATTGTCGATCAAGGATACTGACTAGCCAGTAACATGGGAATTGTCGATCAAGGATACTGACTAGCCATTAACATGGGAACTGTCGACCAAGGATACTGACTAGCCCATAACTCGGTATGTCTGCTGCTTCAGTAGGAAGACTTGGAATGCCCAATGTGCAGTGACATTGATTGTAATAACATAAAATAACATATAATAGCATAACTAACCCACAAAACTGATGACAATGAGCTTCTTTCTGCCCAGTCTCTCCACCAATACAACTCCAATGAAAGTTGAGAGAAAGTTAATGCCGTTAGGAACCAGAACAAGCCAAATAGCAGCTTCTGAAGGAAAACCAGCCATCTTGAGAATCGTGGCACTGTAATAGCTGCAATGGCAAAAAGGTATTCTGTTAACATTATCAGTTGGTAAACAAGCTATAGTTCAAATAAATATACAAGTGACAATGTACTGTAATATACAGTTAAACCTCCTTAACATGAACTCACTTTAGAAGAACACTCAGTCATTCGATATGTCAGCATACCCTTTACAGAACGTCGCTCTCTTCACGGCGAGCTTGAAAGTTTTACTTTCTCTAGTCAGTTCTCAAGCTTGGTGTTCTTTCATAGCCAATGCATTTTCAATGTCCTTATCCACCTTCACGGAAGTCAGCTTCTGCCTCGTTTTCTTGAAACTGCTCCTTCCATCTTTGTTCTCCCCAGACCAACTTGGCACCAGAGATGTCCAAAGTACCTCAGCTCCTGGGATAGAATGCTCTTTATGAGCCAGTTCTTTATGTTCAGGAAATGCAGAATGTTGACATTTTTCTTCTTCTTGATCCACAGTATTCTAAGAAATTCTCTGTAGCATTTCAGTTCAAAATCTCTTTCTTCTTCAAAGACTGAGTGACAGTCCATGACTCACATATGTGTTGCCACGGAAAAGATGCATGATGTCAATTTTGTTTTAACTTGATTGCGGGTTGTAAGCTAAAGGTTCTACACGCTGTTCAGCTTCTCCATTGTTAAAGCCTTTTTCTGTCTTCTCGCTTGCAGTTGTCGTTGTAGTTCATTACTGAGCCTAAATATTTCAAATCTTTGACATTTTCAATCTCTTCTTTGTTGATTATATTATTTTAGCCTGTGTTTTGTTTTCATGTCACATTCAGAAATAGATCCCCTTCTTTGATGTGCTTTTTGACAGTCAAACACTCAGTTAACATGAACAGAATTGTCCCCCAGTAGTTGCCTGTAAGCAAAACCATTTTACATTGATATTTAGGTCATTTGGAATTTGCACTAACGAGGTGTTACTGTAGGTAATGATGTTAACTGTGGAATAATTTATATGGGTTTTGCTTGTTTAAGGCAATATAAGCGGTTATGGTATCCCATTTGGATTAAAAGAAGTTGAGCTGGGATACAACATCACAGCACTGAGACATTTCCATAGGCACCCGCCCTCATCTTCAGCAGCCTTCAAAGATTTCAGATTTCAATGACGCTAGCAGTTGTTTTGATTATATGACCATCTTGCTTCTCTCTAAGTGGAGAGTTTCAGCCCAATCCCCTGGTCACTCCCAGACATACAATTTTCTCCAGACCCAATTGATCAATTCGCGCTTCAACATGATTCATTGCTCCCGAAGGGCCTCGATCACCTCTAGCTTTTCATACATAAAGGCACACTTGTTGGCACAGCATCAGCTAATCTGTCTGCCTGTTTATTTCCCAACACACCTGTATTCCCCAGAGTAAATGTTAAAAGAACGCTAACTACTATGGGATCTCTGAGATGCTTGCTTGTCATCTGAACGGAGCATGCCTTTCTCAGCTTTGTGAAACTGTTGTAATCATAGCTTGCTTGGGCAGCAGGTATGATGTTTTATTAGTGGTTATGGGTCTGTTAGGCAATTGTATCCCATCCTTCTCCTCCTCCTCCTTCTCCTCCTCCTCCTTCTTCTTCTCCTCCTTCTTCTTCTTCTGCTTCTGCTCCTGCTCCTTCTTCTTCTTCTTCTTCTTCTTCTTCTTCTTCTTCTTCTTCTTCTTCTTCATTGAGTGGGTGAGCGTGTGTATGTATGTGGGTGTCTGTATGCACGCACGAGTTTTTGCATGCACCTTACAACTCATGCTTTTGTGTTCTTTTATAATATTCATAATATGCATAACATCATATGATCATAACATGCTTTATTAGTAAAATACAACTGCTGTGCGAAATATGGTTGACTGGAAGGGCCGAATGTAAGACGGGCCTACATGCCTAATTTGTGACCCTTTGAAAATAAAGTTTGTTTGTTCGTTCATTCATCATCTTTTTCTTCTTCTTCTTCTTCTTCTTCTTCTTCTTCTTCTTCTTCTTCTTCTTCTTCTTCTTCTTCTTCTTCTTCTTCTTCTTCTTCTTCTTCTTCTTCTTCTTCTTCTTGTCCCATTCTCTCTTCCTCTCAACAGCTACCTCATTTTTCTTCTTGAAAGTTTATCAGCTGCATTTACTTACAAGAAAATTTACTGGTTTTAGGCTGTGTTAACCGGAGACCCCAAATCAACCAAAAAAAATTGCCATAGTGTGGATTCGAACTCAAGACCTTCACACCGACATACAAGCATCTAGCTACCTGGCTAATTTGACTCGTATAACATGACTGTAGACTGTAGAGGACTGATGAGCAAATAGTAAACACTGACCAGTGCTGGCAGAGAGAGAGAGAGAGAGAGAGAGAGAGAGAGAGAGAGAGAGAGAGAGAGAGAGAGAGAGAGAGAGAGAGAGAGAGAGAGAGAGAAACACATTGTATGTATATATATATATATATATATATATATATATATATATATATATATATAGGGAGACATACACACGTATATATATACAGCATTCAGCCTGCACTATAAAAAATTATAAAAAGCAAGCTTAAAATGTCAGGTAGTTTCTAAACATTCAATTCATAATTACATAACATTGTAACTCGTATGCATATAGACAGACAGACAGACAGACAGACAGACAGACAGACAGATAGAGAGTGGTGCGTGTATGTGAGCATGACAGAGATTGGAAATGTGAGAAAGAGAGAGGGGGGGGGGGTGGATATATGTAAGAAAGAGAGAGAGGCAAAGTTTGTGTGTGTGAGACAGACATAATGGTTGGAATGTGTGTGAGAGAGACAGAAAGAGTGAGGAGTGTAGGTATGTGTGTGTGTGAGAGAGGCAGAGAGAGTGAGGAGTGTGTGTATCTGAGAGAAAGGGGGAGTACTCTATGAGAGTGAGCAAGGTGAGTGTCTGTATGTGAAAAAGAGGGATGTGGGACAGGGTGTGTGTTTGTGTGAGAAAAAAAGAAAGAGAAGAGTGTGTGTATGTGTGAGACAGGGTGTGTGTATGTGTGTGAGAGAAGGAAAAAAAGAGTATGTATGTACATGTAAGAGAGGGGAGTGTGTTTGCGTGTGAGAAAAGTGTGTGTTTGTGTATGAGTGAGAGAAAAACAGCGAGAGAGAGAATGTATGTATGTGGGAGAGAGAGGGTGTGTGTGTGAGAGAGAGAGGATGACGTGTGTATGTGAGAGGGGAATAGAGAGATGTATGTTTGTGTGAGAGAGGAGGAGTGCGTGTCAAAAAGAGAGGAGGCCCTTCTAGACAACTATATTTCGCACAGCAGTTGTATTTTACTAATAAAGCATGTTATGATCTTATGATGATATGCGTATTATGAATATTATAAAAGAACAAGCACGTAAGCATTCTTTTCAGTGGCATGTTGGGCATAAAACGTGGCTCGTCTTTTTATAGACCAAAAGGCCCTCTGTGGGTCATGTGGACAGTCAACATCACGCCGGCCACCTTTACTTTCCAGGACTTTGCCTAATTTATATTTTAGGCTGAGTTGACCTGGAAGCAAAAGTATTTTTTTTTTAACAAATCCAAGTTAACGAGGATTCGAACCCAGCAGCTTCAGGCTGGCAGAAGAGAGAGAGAGAGAGAGAGAGAGAGAGAGAGAGAGAGAGAGAGAGAAATACAGAGAGGAGGAGAAAGAGCGGTACTTAATTTATAACTTACCCCTAACGTCACGACAACGTCACGGGAGACATTCCCAATAAATTCTAGGGTGTTCAGGTTGTAGTTTCTCGCGATTTATCTACGGCCAAGTTTAGGGTTAGGGTTAGGGTAAGGGTTAGCATTAGAAGACACTAGATGAACACTCAAAAAAAAAAAAAAAAAAAACCACATAACAGCACACTTCCACTCCTGAAAATAATGGACTGTCAGGTCAGCTGTGGATTTCCCACGGGGATTTCGTGTTTGGGGTACGTTATAAATTAAGAACCGAAAGAGCCAGTCAAATAAACAGAGAGACACAGAGATGGATAAAGAAAGAAAAAGATACTTAAACAGAGATATATATATAGAGAGAGAGACACACACACACAGAGAGAGGGGGGGGGGGAGAGAGAGAAGGCGGGGATAAAAAGGACGAGGCTAGAAATGCTGTTAGAAAGACTTACATGACCGTGTTTATACCACACAGTTGTTGGAAAACCTGAAGGCCACAGCCAACAAACAAAGCTCTCCTCACGTGTTGGGTTCTGATAACTCGACCCAGCACAAAACCTGGTAAAATAATGAGAAGTGCTGAATCAAATGTCTGAGAAAAATGAGGAAAATGAAAAAGGATGAATTTAAAAAAAAAAAAAGTAAAGATCTCTTTACACGCCTTTTAGGCGCATCGGACACATGGGAAAAGCACCCATATTTTTACAGATCATTCGGCACTAGGTGGGTAATATGGTCAGCATAAATCCGGCCGTCTTTACAAGACATACATTCTGGTACCCATTATAGACTGGGTCGACCTGCGACGTCCTATACCACGATAACAATCAACGCAGCCAGCAGTGGGTTTCGATCGCGGTACGTTGAAATTACGAGTCGGACCCGCAACGCCTAAGTCACGGACGCCGCTCATGCATTGTAAAGGACTGAAGAACGAAAAAAAAAAAAAAACTTCCGGACAACCGCTAGTATCAACAGTTATAATACAGAGACGCTACATTGGGCACTCATGCAAGGAAACTAGTAGAGAATCACCAAACAGGAATTAAAATGGGAAACAACGGGATTAAGGAGACAAGGACGCCAAAAAAACACACCATGAAACCAACACTGATGAGAGAGGCCAAGAGTAAATTGATTAAAGAAGTTAAATTAGACAGTGAGCATTTTTCGGACATTTTATGAGAAAAAGTGGACTCGAAAACTTGGTGAGACTGACAATTTTAATGGGGGGAAAAGGGGGGGGGGGGGTTAAAGTGCAAAGGGAAAGCAGCATACTATATGTAATGGGTGACTTCAACGGGAGGGTAGGAAACAACAGAAGAGAATACGAACAGTTTCTAGGTCCACATGCAGCTAAGAACAGTGATAGAAATGGAAATGGTCAAAGAATATTGGATCTATGCAGCCAGCACAATCTTTTTATTACGAACACATTCTTTGACCATAGAGATTCCCAACTTTACACTTGGTACAAATGGAATGATGTCTCCATCAAGAGCCAGATTGACTTTATACTTACCAGAGTTCAAGGAAGAAGGAGAATTCTTGATTCAAGAGCAATCCCTAATGGTCTATGTGACCCCGACCATAAAATAGTTGTGTTAACAGCAAAACATCTTACATTAAAGAAACACAGAAAGAAATTAACCAAAAACAAGGATCTCATCAAGATAGCAAATCTGAAACAGGAAGGAGTAAAAGAACAGTTACATCAGAAAGTAGAGACAGCATTCAAACAACTTCCACATGTAGTTGGCAATATTGAAGAAGAATGGAGTAAATATAAAAACACTATGCTTAGTATTGCAGAAGAATTATGTGGAAAACGGAAGAGTGGAAACAGACGGGGAAATAAGAAAAATATTCACCTTGGTGGTGCGAAGAAGTAAAAGACGCAATTAAAAAGAAAAAGGATTTATATAAACAGTGGATAAAATCAAAGAAAGAAGAAGATTATAAAAACTATAGACTGCAACAGGAGTGTCAAGAAAGCAAAACAAGCATCCTGGGAACGTTTCGGTGAATCGTTAGCAGAAAATGAGAAAACAGCCAGCAGAAAATTTTTCAAAGTAGTTAAAAATATGCGGAAAAGAGATGAGAGCTACAACCCCACTGAAATAATTAATGATAAGACAGGAAGGCCATTGATAGATCCACCCGAGATAGCAGAAAGATCGATCAATGAGCTCTTTAATCCTCTAGGAGATCATCAGGAAAGAACAACTGAAGAGCACAGAGCAACAGTGTTAGAACCACACATACTAATGGATGAAATAGAAAAAGTCATTAAGCAGTCTTCCAAATATAAAGCACCAGGAGCTGATAGATTACCAACATAAATAATTCAAACAGCAGGTGAAAGCAGCATCAGATGGCTTCACAGAATATTTAATGCAGCATAGGTACAACAAACTGCCCCTATTGATTGGCAACATGCAAAAGTTATACCATTGTGGAAGAACAAAGGAAGCAAACGAGAATGCGGTCAATACCGAGGCATCTCTCTTTTAAGCCATGTTGGCAAAATGTATGTCAAGATAATTGAAACAAGACTGAAACCAGTAATAGAACCACAGCTGGCAGAAGAACAGATGGGATTTAGGAGAAATAGAAGCTGCACAGATGCAATCTTCACACTTAAACAGTTAATAGAAAAGAACATTGAATACAATAAGAACTTATTTGTGGCCTTCGTAGACCAGGAGAAGGCATTTGACAGAGTCGACAGACAATTATTATGGAAAGTAATGGCAAGATATGGAGTAAGCGAACACCTCATCGAAGTGTGCAAAAGTTTATACAGGGTTTGTAGAAGTGTAGTTAGAATAAATCAGGGAACATCTCATCCATTCACAGTAACATCTGGAGTAAGACAGGGGTGTGTCTTATCACCACTGTTGTTTATCACTGTCGCGTGCGAATGTGCACCAGAACGCACCAGTACGGAGTGAGCAAATAAGACGTCAAAACAATACGTAACGTTGTTATGATATTATTGTTGTCAAAGCAGTTGATGTTTATAGTCCGAAGGAGACGGACGTGGGAATCCTTGAGGACGCTTTACCCCGGGATCCCACGGAAGCAAACGTTATATAAAGTTGGATCCTTGAGGACGTTTTACCCCGGGACTCCAAGACCTCAGCAGGAAGCTGGTGAATACTACATTTTCGGCAGTATGCCGGTATACTTTCCTTGCTTAATTCGGACTTGTCCGAGGACCAAGATGATTGTCATGATCTCAAGGTCGGACTGCGACCTATCGTGAGGACATATCAATACATGGATGTACGAGTGAGCTTTGGTTGAACGAGTTGATTATTGATTGCATACGTATTCTTGTGTTGATCATTGCTGATTGTATATATCAATACAACCATTGGAACTTAACGCATAGCGTTCGAGCTCTACATTTTGAAAGCATTGAAGTAACTACTGTTTTACCCCTACTTGGCCTATTTCATCTTGGTACCACACACATCAGCATGAAGCTCTGCACGTCACAATGAAGGACCGCACGTATCAATGGGAGCCAAGCCAGGTTGTCCGAAAGAAAGATGGAAGCCTTCGGATCTGTATAGATTTCCGAAAATTGAATCGAATCACGGTTGTAGATGCTGAAAATATCCCAAATATGGAAGATATGTTTGTTGCATTGTCGAAGGCTAGGTATTTTACAAAGTTAGATCTTACTAAGGGTTATTGGCAGATTCCCTTAGCCGAGGATTCCAAAAAATACACCGCGTTTCAGACGAACAAAGGTTTGGTTCACTTCAACTATATGGTCTTCGGGCTTTCGGGAGCACCGGCGACGTTCACCCGCCTCGTACGCAAGTTGTTACAGGGTCGTAATGATGTTATTCATTATCTGGATGACATTCTACTTTTTCCATAATGATTTAGACGAACATATTCGAGGTCTAAAGACATTACTGGAACGCATAAAATCGTTTAATCTGACAGTTAGACCAACTAAAGTGAAGGTCGCTTTCGAGGAGGTCACGTTCCTCGGTCATGTTGTAGGACACGGGGTCCGTAAACCCGAAGCCACCACGGTGGGTAAGATTCTTAACATTCCTATACCAAAAACGAAGAAACAAGTGCGTGCGTTATTGGGTTTATGTAACTTTTATGCCAAATTCATTCCTAACTATTCAACCATTACAGCCGTGTTGTGTCCTCATTGACGATGAAAGGAATGCCAGCGAAGGTTATCTGGACGAGAGAGTGCGAGGACGCGCTCCAGAGATTACAAAAGGCATTTAATAGTAATCCGTTCTTGTGTTTGCCAGATTTGTCTCTGCCGTTCTATGTATCCACAGATGCGTCCGATGTGGCGATTGGTGGGACGTTGTTGCAATCCAGAGAGGGCACCCTACTTCCTGTTGTTTATGCCAGCAGGAAGCTGTCTCCTACTGAATGCCGTTACAGCGTGGGGCGAAAGGGAAGCACTAGCCATTTTTTTTGGGCAATAGGGAAGTTTACCCAATTCCTGTATGGCAGTCACTTCTTTGTCTTGACAGACCATCGTCCACTCGAAGTCTTGAACTCAGCACCCATCAAAAACTCACGCATATTAAGATGGACAATGTTTCTACAGACGTTCAACTTCACAGTTATTTATCCCCCAGGGAAAGAGAATGTCTTAGCCGATTTTTTGTCGCGCACCCCAGAGGCATTGGAAGACGATTGATGTTTATTTGTTCAATTTACATGATATTTAAAATGCATGATGTTATGAAAAATAATTTGGATAACAATAATGTTGTTGATAATAATGCTTAGTGAAGTCAGGAATCTATATTTTGCATGCATTTAGTAATGTATTGACGATATATTGAGGAGTGAGTGTGTGTGTATTCAAGTGTTCTTATTTGCTCTCACGTACTGGTGCTGTTTGCCGCGACATGACTCCAGTTTTCCGACCGAGACTACGTCAAGTCCTAGTGCTCGGTCGTCCTGGGGAGGGGGGAAAAGCTGTCGCGTGCGAATGTGCACCAGAACGCACCAGTACGGAGTGAGCAAATAAGACGTCAAAACAATACGTAACGTTGTTATGATATTATTGTTGTCAAAGCAGTTGATGTTTATAGTCCGAAGGAGACGGACGTGGGAATCCTTGAGGACGCTTTACCCCGGGATCCCACGGAAGCAAACGTTATATAAAGTTGGATCCTTGAGGACGTTTTACCCCGGGACTCCAAGACCTCAGCAGGAAGCTGGTGAATACTACATTTTCGGCAGTATGCCGGTATACTTTCCTTGCTTAATTCGGACTTGTCCGAGGACCAAGATGATTGTCATGATCTCAAGGTCGGACTGCGACCTATCGTGAGGACATATCAATACATGGATGTACGAGTGAGCTTTGGTTGAACGAGTTGATTATTGATTGCATACGTATTCTTGTGTTGATCATTGCTGATTGTATATATCAATACAACCATTGGAACTTAACGCATAGCGTTCGAGCTCTACATTTTGAAAGCATTGAAGTAACTACTGTTTTACCCCTACTTGGCCTATTTCATCTTGGTACCACACACATCAGCATGAAG